CTTTTGGTGGGGGGGGTACCAGGGATAGAACTGTGAGGACCTTGGGCTTGCAAGGCATAGTACCACTGAGCAAAATTCCTGGCTCTATACAAATATATATATATTTATGTGTGTGTATAGATATAATATAGTTATTTTCAGTTTTTACATGCATGATTTGTGCTCCAAAATCGGATGTTCATGCTTTTATTGCTAAAGTTATTGCCAGAAAACTTTTAGAAAGATGTTAGTTAGCAAGTCATACTTGACAACAATGTTCACTTCCTTTTACTCCTTGTATACATCAATTTGAAATTTTTGTCTGATAAATATATTTTTCTTTCAACAGCAGAGAGAGATGCTTTATATTAAGATATAATTTTATAGTTTTTAGTTTTTCTGAAATTTAAGAAGTGATTGTTATGGTAAAATAAATTTTTTTTAAGGAAAAAAGAATTTCTGAGCTGAGAATATTGCTCAGTGGTCTAGCTCTTGCCTGACGTGAGGCCTGGAGGTAGGAGGGTAAAGGAGATTTCTGTACACAATACTGCTCATTTAGAATGTCTTCTTAGAATCTGGATATGTTGAGTCAACCCTTTATCCCTATACAAGGTCATATCTGATTTTCTCAATTTTTTAAGGATGGGGAAATTTTCAGATGGACATATACCCTCTTTATATTTGTTTATGTTTGTTTATTTGTTTGTTTTTGGTACTGGAGGAAACCTTGTGTTTTTGAGGCAGGTGTCAGAACCACTGAGCTAAATCCCCAGCCCTGTTGGGTTTTTTTTTTGTTTTGTTTTTTTTGAGTCAGAGTCTCACTATGTAGTTGAGACTGACCTGGAACTCACTATGTTGCCCAGGCTGGTCTTGAACTCAGAGCGATCCTCCTGCCTCAGCCTCCGAGTACTGGGATTATAGGCGTGCGCCACCATGCCCGGCTCCTGTATTCTTTAATAATGCTATTTGTGGGACAAGGTAGCTTGTAATTATTATATAGGGAAAACATCTGTTATAGTAGCTCTTTGTCTTTGGTATATTGTGAACTTTTTTACAATGGAAAATGAAGCGTTTTTTTCAGTTTTTATAGCACTAATTTGATACTGCTTTGTTATTTTTAAAGATCCTCAAGATGAAAATAAAATTGGAATAGATGGTATACAGCAGTTCTGTGATGACCTGGCGCTTGATCCAGCCAGCATCAGTGTTTTGATCATTGCGTGGAAGTTCAGAGCAGCAACACAGTGTGAGTTCTCCAAGCAGGAGTTCATGGACGGCATGGCCGAGTTAGGGTGAGTATATAACTACCTTGGGAAGGCAGACACATGGGCGTGGTGCCACGAGTGACACGGAACTGAGTTATGGCGTCACTTTGTTTTTCCTCCAGTGCTGAGGATTGAACCCCTGTATTTGCACTGATCTCTCTCTAGGTCTTTTAAAATTTTTTTAAATTTTGAGGCAGGGTATCACTAAGTTTCCCTAGTTGAGCTCTAACTTGAGATCCTTTTGCCTCAGCCTCTCCGAGTGTTGGAATTACAGGCGTGTGCTACTGTGATGGCTTGTCATCAATTTTTAAATGTAAATTTAAGATTTACTGGCCCATAGACATTAGTATAAACAGAAATTAGCTAACATGCTAGTTTCCATGTTAAACAGTTTTCTGGGCTTGTCACGTTATCTGTATAATTCTTTTAGTTTACTGTATATTATATTTTCATGATGATATTAAAATCATCATGCATTAATAATGAAATAAGCAAGGTTGTAAGTTATCTCCTAATGTGAGGCTGTGAACTCTGGATTGATAAAATCCTAGAATTTAAACACTGGAAAGTACCTTAGAAATTACTTGTTATGCCAGGTGTGGTAGTGCATGCCTGTAATCCCAGCACTTGGGAGGCTGAGGCAAGAGGATTGCCTTGAGTTTTGGGCCACGCTGGGCTATGTAGTAAGTTCAAGGTTGACCTGAACTACATAGTGAGACCCTGTTTCACAAAATTAAAAAAAAAAAATTACTTGTTTCATTTTGTTCTGTTTATGCTTTGACAGTTTGATTACCTCAGAGACTTTGGATGAATAGATGGGAAAGTCACGGGTGGAGATTTTACTTATGACCTCTAGTTGTCTTTATTTATTGAGACTGTAAAGCATTCAGTTTTTGGGTAGGTAATGGGCTGCCCTTTGTTTTTTAGTGGACCACTATTGAATAGTAGTAGCTAACATGAATTGAGCAATATTTTATTTCAATAACTGTGCTAAGTACTTCATCTGTTACCTTTACAACAACTTTGTGACAGTAGCGGTTACACCCTTACAAGGAAATGATAGAAATAGGTGACACTGCAGTCAGGATAGAACCAGACAGTCTGCTTTTTGAGCCCAGGGTCCATTGTCATCAGTCAGGGTCCAGTCAAGACACAAGAGCACACCAGTAATCGGAGCAGCGAACATTAAAAGAACTGTTTTACTATATGAAAGGAAACTCTAAGGTGTAAAAGAAGCTCGCAGTAACTATTGGCACCACTGGGCTGAGTGAAGTAAACATACAAGGAAGGAATTTAGACGCTAAAGAGATCTTAGCAAGGCAGCGATTGTTTGAGTGGGTGCGGGAGAAAGGAACAGGGTCACTGCAGTGGTAAAAACCTAGGAAAGAAGAGGCCACTTGCTGGGGAACTTTGAGGGTCGTCACCAAAACCGTTTCCTTCTACAGGAATAACAAACTGAGGTCAAAGTTCCTCTGTTCTCCTCCCAGCTTTCATCACCCCTTTTGGTAGAGCCTACTGTTGAATAAGCTGGTAGGAAAAATGAAGGCTGGTGATTTGTAGCCACTGTTACAAAGTAGGGCAAAAGCCGGGCGTGGAGGTGCATGCCTGTGATCCCAGCACTTGGGAGGCTGAGGCAGGAGGATCGCTGTGAGTTCAAGACCAGCCCGGGCTACATTGTGAGTTCCAGGTCACTCTCAACTATGTAGTGAGACCCTGTCTCAATGCCCCCCCGCAAAAAAAATCCCCGAAAAACAAAAACAGAATAGAGCAGAGTATGTTTAAGCCAGGTGTGGTGCGTGCTTGTAATCTCAGCTACATGGTTGACTGAGGCAGGGGTCTTATTAAATTCAAGGCCAGCCTGGGTAATTTAGATAAACCCTATCTCATAATAAAGAAGAGCTAGGCATGTACCTCAGGGATAGAGCCTTTGCCTGTGGTGCTCAAGGCCCTGGGCTCAATCCCTCATTACCCTCCCCCCCCTCCACATATACACAGAGAAGGGCAGGTTTTTGGGTTTTTTGAGACAGGGTCTCACTATGTAGTTGAGACTACCTGGAGCTCACTATGTAGCCCAGGCTGGTCTCAAACTCACAGGGATCCTCCTGCCTCAGTTTCCTGAGTGCTGGGATTACAGGCGTGCGCCACCACACCTGGCCAGGTTTTTGGGGGTTTTTTGGTACCGGAGATTGAACTCAGGACCTTGCACTTGTGAGCCAGGTGGCACCACTGAGCTAAATCCCTGGCTCGATGGCAGGTTTAAAGATGAGAGGCAGATTGGGTATGGTGGTGCACACCTGTAATCCCCTGAGTCAGGAGGATGTCTAGTTTCAGGGCAGCCTGAGTTACATTTGCAAGACACCCCTCAAAAAAAAAATTACTGAGAGGGAATAAATTAATAACCTTGCTCAGACTATCCTACAGCGAAAGACATCATCCTGAGAATGGATTTTTTTTTTTAATGCCAGATACAGTTTTCATGGGAACGAATGTTTTTCATTTTCAATTCAAATGGCATTCATGTAAAATGAACTTCCAATCTGAAATTTTATTTTAAAACTATTGATCCAGATGATGTCATAAAGAATATAGAAAGGAAATAAAGGCAAAAATGATTAGAAGAGAAAAATATTGAACTAATTTGTTTTTTGGTGGAGTCTTTACAAAATGTTTATTTCGATCATAAGGCATTTATGATAAAAGTAAATCTTGATACTTCCCCCTCTTTGAATATTGAATGTTTTGCAGATACAGAAAAAAAGGGTTGATTTGAGGTAATTCAGTTGGAAGTGGTAGCTGATATTTATTATTGTACTTTCTATATAGCCAGAAGCAAGTTTTCAAGAGAAATGATTCCACACCTAAGCAAGAGGCCATGTTTCCCATTAGTGTGGTAGCCGGACCTGTGGTGAAATTCTGTTGAGCAATGTCTAATACAGTTGGTGATTGTACTGGTGATTGCAAGGCTGGTTGGTCACTGTCTCTTCCCATCTCTTCACTGAAGCTGACTTCTCTCAGCATGTTAATAGTCCAGTGAATTATGTAATTAAAAGTAACAGCCCATTTCTTTTAAAAGCAGTAATTATTTCTAACATTTTGTCACTCTAGACCCCCTCCTCTTTCACTGCAAATAATAGTTCCTTATCCTTGGTATTTTTTGAGATTTCAGTGATACAGTGAACTATGGTCCCAAATTATTAATTGGAAAATTTTAGAAATAGCTGGGCATGGTGATGCATGCCTATAATCCCAGAACAGGGAGGCTGAGGCAGGAGGATCATCACAAGTTCCAGGCCAGCATGGACCACTACATAGTGAGACCCTGTCTCAAAAAAATAAAAAATCAGAAATAAACAATTTATAAGTTGCACACTTTTCTAAGTGCTGTGATGAAATTTGCCATCCTGTTTTGTCCTGCTTGGAATGTGAGTCTTCCCTTTGTCCACTGTATCCACATCATGTCGACCACCTCCCTGCCTGTTGTTTAGTAGCTGTCTCAGTTATCAGCTCAAATGTATGTGTATCCCAGTACTTACATTCCGTAGCCTTCTTAGTACTGGTCCCAGAATATGGGCGGTTTGGATATCCCCAAAGAGCTGTACAGGGCTTCCTTGAAGAGAAAAGGTATATTTTGAGAGACCACATTTACATGACTTTTATTACAGCATGTTGTAAAAATTATTCTATTAATTGTTAATTTTTTAACAATTTAGCTCAATGACATTTAGCTCAGTTGGATTTAGCTCAGTGGCACCGTGCCTGCCTCCCAAGCACAAGGTCCTGAGTTCGATCCCTGCTACCAAAAGAAAAAAAATTTCATGATACCCAATTTATAAATTAAATGTTATCATAGATCTATGTATAGGGGTTTAGTACTGTCTGAGATTTTTAGTCATCCACTGGGGATCTTGGGACATAAGCCCTTGGGATAAGGGGGTATTATCATATTTGTATATATTTACATGATGTAAACAGATGAAATTCCAACTATCTGATTTTTTAAAAAAATTTAGGAAGGAAATATAAGCCCTCAGGGAACAAATAAGTTACATTTTTAATTTATAGTAAAAAAAGTTAACCTTTTATAAACTTAATTTTATAATGTAGATGTGACAGCATAGAAAAGCTAAAGGCTCAAATACCCAAGATGGAACAAGAATTGAAAGAACCAGGACGATTTAAGGATTTTTACCAGTTTACTTTTAATTTTGCAAAGAATCCAGGACAAAAAGGATTAGGTAAGAATATTTTAAAATTATATTTGGTGTTTCAAATATATGTAAATACCTTGATAGTATCACTTTTGCAATAAAAGTTTTGTTTTTTACAGCATAAAGTCATAAATATACACATTATTGGAAAGCAGTGGGATCTAGTGAACTTTTAGTCAGAAAATACCATACATTTTGGGTAATAGATATTGGGTATGACTCACTGATGTTTTAAGAAATAAAAAACTATAAATATAGAAAACAGTAGTTAAAATTCCACTGACATTTACAAATTCATCTTTATTTTTAAGCAAAACATTCATCGGTACATTTTAGATAGATATAAGGGAATTTGTACCTTTACATGATATATACATGATATATCTTTCTTCTTTTTTTAATCCCCATTGCCCCCTTCCTTTAACCCCTTGACTGCTCTTCCCCTCCTTATGTACAAAAGCCTTGTTTTCATTTTTCCTTCTATTTTCTTTTTTTGTTATTTTCTTTCCTTTCCCCCTTCCCCATCCCTTCTTCCGTGTTTAAACATTTTATTCCCATTTCCCAATACCTATTATACATTTTTCTCCTTATTTACACTTTTGGTTTCTCACACCAAAGAAGCAATATGGTATTTTAATATGTGTGTCCTATTTATTTTACTTAAGAGTATGGCCTCAATGTGCATCCATTTAGCTATAAATGTCTCTAGTTTCTTATTCTTTATGGGTAAGTAGTACTCCATTTTATTTTTTCAAAACACACACACATCTTCTCTATCCAGTCTCCAGTTGATGGGCAGTTGGGCTGTTTCCAAGATTTCGCTATTACAGATTGTGCTGCTATAAGCGTGAGTGTGCATATATCACTGTGGTGTGATGCTTTGAATTCTTTCAGGAAGCATCTTTTATTTACGATCCAGAAGATATCTAGGATCTATAGAAATAGGATTATAAGACTTCTGAGTCATAGGATGGCCAAATAACTTTTCTTTTTATTAGAAAACTTAAGAAAGCATGAAAAAGAAAATCTGACTCATAGTCTTATTATCCAGAAATAATTGTTAACATTGTAGATCATTTTAACCATTTGACCACCTTGACTCATTAACAGTTTAGATCACTCACTTTATACTAAAAGCAATACAGAAATTCCTTAACAACTGAATTCTGGTCCTGTGGCTAGGTCATTAATTGAATTGGTTGCTAAATGAGGAAATGTAGATAGTATGGACATTACAAAATTCAGAACAAAGAAATGGTCAAAGAGAAGTCCATCTTGATGACTTTGCTTTTACTTGCATGACTCCTTTTTTTTTTGGTACTGGGGATTGAACTCTCAGGCCTTTGTGCTTATGAGGAAGGCGGTGGAACCACTGACCCAAATCACAGCCCTATTTGCATAACTCTTACATGCAGTGCTTATATATAACCGAACATAAAACTGCATACTCTACAGTACAATAAACTACAGTACCGTATAAACAAGCTATACTATACCAAAGAAAGACATTGAGCTCTGTAAAAAAGGTGAGAAGAACTGTACCCCCCCAAAATGGATTGTAAGTCCAAACATTCATTAAACAGGTAAGTCATTACATGAGGAATATCTATATTCATTTTGCTTTGGGGACAGCTACGGGACGTGGAAGTAAAAGATAACGTCAGTTACCCATTAATTTCCTCCCTTTTAGAAAAAGGGGGGAGGGGTGAGTAAGAGAGTGGTTGGGAAATGCTTTCTGGGCCTGGTGGACTCTGAACTGAGGGAGTTGGTGTTCGAGACAAGGGAAGAGATGCTGTAAGGTGTTCCAGCGAGGGGATTGTTGGGTGTGAGGTTCTAAAACCTCAGAAGTAAGTTTGGAGTTTCTGAGGAAGAGAGCATGCATTGGTTTGATTTTGGTGGGAATGCTTGTCTGGAGATTGAATTGGTGAGACACAGTCATGCAGGCTTCTGAAAGCGGGATAAAAGGGTTTAAGTTGGAACATGTGGGGAATGAGGACCCAGTGAAGATTTCGGGGATGGCCGTAACCTCTGTTTAATGTGAGCTTTCATTATGCTTGGCATTGTGCTAAGAACTTTAAAGTTTAATCGTTTTCTGAGGTTAGATTTTTTGTTTTTGTTTTGTTTTTTGAGACACCGTGTAGTTCTGACTGGCCTTGAACTCACTGTGTAGTTCAAGCTGGCCTGGAATTTGCATTAATCTTCCTGCCTCAATAATTTACTGCCTGCTGAGTGCCAGACATGCAGTACAACAGTAGTCAATTTTTTTATTCTTTTTTTTTTTTTAATGTTTAATTTTTTTGCCGGTACTGGGGATTGAACTCAGGATCTTGCGCTTGCCAGGCAGGCACTGGCACCACTGAGCTAAATCCCTGGCCCTCAGTTTTTTATTCTTAATTTGCAGGTGAGGAAATTTAGGCACAGGAAAGTTAAATAACTTGACCAGTGATGGAAGTGGTTGTTTTGTTTTGTCATTTTAGTGCTGAGGATAGAACCTAGAGTCTCATGTGTGCTAGGCAAGCACTCTCTTATGGATTTACACCCTAGCCCTTGTTTTTGTTTTTTGTTTGTTTGTTTGTTTGTTTTTGGTACTGGGGATTGAACTCAGGTCCTTGCGCTTGCAAGGCAGGCCACCGAACCACTGAGCTAAATCCCCAGCCCTGTTTGGTTTGTTTTTGAGGCAGGGTCTTGCTCTGTATTGCAGGCTGGTCTTGAACTCACTATGTAGCCCAGCCTGCAATCTTCCTGCCTCAGCCTCCCAATGCTGGGATTACAGGCATATGCCACTTCATCGGCGTTAATTGGAGAAGCTAAAGGGGCCTGTTGTAGTAATTCTTCATTGCATTTTATTTTTTTGGTGGTGGTTATTTTGGTACTGGGGATCGAACTCAGGACCTTGTGCTTGCGAGGCAGCGGCAGAACCACTGAGCTAAATCCCCGGCCCCCTTCATTATATTTTAGATGATAGAAGGTGGAAAAAAATTGTTGAGAAATGATTATAAAGTCAGGAGATAGACCAAGGAAATGATTGAAAGCTAGAGAAAGGGGTAGATGTACATTTGTTTTGTTTGTTGTTGTTGTTGTTTTGTACTGGGGATCAAATTTGGGACCTTGCGCTTGCAAAGCAGGCAGTGGAACCATGGAGCTAAATCCTCCACTGGATAGATGTATATTTGTAATGAAGAACTGCCCTACAGAGGGACTAAGCATGATTGAATTTACTGACTGAAGATTTATGAAATATGTGCAAATCAGAGTTCTAATGAACCCTTTGTTCTAATTGATTGCTTAGTATAGGCTGGATTTTGTTTTTTTTCTTTTTTTGGCTTTTTGAGACAGGTCTCACTATGTAGTTGAGACTGACCTGGAACTCACTATGTAGCCAGACTAGACTGGTCTCAAACTCACAGTGATCCTCCTGCCTCAGCCTCCCAAGTGCTGGGATTACAGGTGTGCGCCACCACGCCCAGCTGTATTTTAATTTTTAATGAAAACACTGTGGTTATGCATATTTCTGAGCTGCAGGATAGCATTTCTGTGCATGTATGCAATGCATAATAATTAGATGGGGGGGCTGGGGATATAGCCTAATCCTGGAGCATGAGTTCAGTCCCCCAGGCTGTGGGGAAAATAGATGGGGTAGATTTTCTTTTTAAAAACATATTTTTATTTTATCCCGTACCCCAACCCCTTCCCCTCCCTATGTACAAAAGCTTTGCTTCCATTGTTTTCTTCTATTTTCACTTTTTTCTTGTCCCGTCCTTCCTTTGGATTTTGTTCTTACAGGAAAAAAATTTTCAGGAAAAATAAGCTGGAATTCCTAGGATTAGTTTATCTTTAGTCACCAGTTAACTGGCTGTTTTTGTAATTTCTTATTTCTTTCCCATAAATAAAAATCTGTGAAAGCCTCAGAATTTGCTTTATTTTATGGCACTCAGAAATGTATATGGTTTCTTTTCTTTTTTTTTTGGTACCGGGGATCGAACTCGGGTCCTTGTGCTTACGAAGCAGGCGGTGGAACCACTGAGCTGAATCCCCCGCCCAGAAATGTATATAATGTTTTGATAAGGTTAAACTATTTGTAAATATCAAATTGATCTAAAATGACTGAACCTATTTTTTTGTTATATCTCTACCTTTTACAGGAGCACAAAATAAATGGTGTTTTGCATGAATATGTAGTTTTAATAGTGAAAATAATGCAAAATTAAAGTTTTTAATCTTTGATATATTAATATGGATGTTTCAGATTACAGGAAAAATTGAGACTTACATGAAAACAATAGATTTAAAATAGTTTTGCTTATTAAGTATTGTGTTTAAGAAAAATGTATATTGTTTAGTAGTTACACAGTTTCTGTATTGTTGCGAAGAGAATTCTGGAGATTGTTTGCACAGCAGTGTGAGTATACACTGCTGAACTGAGCTGTACTCTAAAAGGCTACCATGTAAATTTTATGTTGTGTGTATTTAACCACAATGAAGAAAGTAATTATTATTTTTTTAGGGTGGGGGTTTGAGACAGGGCCTTATTTTATATGCTAGGCTGTTCTCAAACTTGTGCCTATCCTCCTGCCTCAGCAGCTCCCTAATTACTGGGGTTATAGTCATGTGCCACCATGCATGGTGAAAAAAAGTATTTTTGTTTTTGTTTTTTGAGACAGGGTCTCACTATGTAGTTGAGACTGACCTGTAACTCACTGTGTAGTCCAGGCTGGTCTCAAACTCACAGCGATCCTCCTGCCTCAGCCTCCCGAGTGCTGGGATTATAGGCGAGCACCACCACATCTGGCCGAAAAAAAGTATTTTTAAAAACCTCATACTATAGAATGTATAATAAGGAAAAGAAGAAAGAAAGAAAGAACAAAAGACAAAGTTTTCTCTTTTTGTTTTCATTGGTGTTAAGTGTCAGAAAACGTAATGACTTGCTTAGTTGACTAGCTTAATTAAAAAGAAAAAAATTGTTTTGACAATCTTTCTAAGGGTTCACAGGGCTCTTAAATTGCAATTGTCTTTCATTGGGAAACATT